TGCAGTGCCTCAGTTTCCCCTCATAAAAAAGAGGGATATGGGGTGCCTATTTCATAAGGTTGTTGTAAGGATTATTAAATGATTGGATTCATGCAAAATGTTCAGAATGGTGGCTAGCACAGGGTAAGTAGCAAGTACCATGAGCCACCGGTTACAACCACTTGTGTCGGGGACTGAGGGATGATCTGTTGCTGACAAGCTGAAGCAGCGCACGCAGCAGGAATGCTGGGTGCGGGAATTGGCCAGTCTGAGGCGACTTGACTGGGTTTTCTCAGGACATTTGCCTAATTCTCACTTTCCCCATCTATGAGGTGGGGGAATAATAACAGTAATGGTAAGTGTGGGTTGGTAAGTATCCTATTCATTACTATGGCAAGTGGCCTAGGTGGGTGTTCTTCATGACCCTGAGGACAGACGCATGGCTCAACACAGATGCCTTGGGGGGGGTCCCCTGGAGGACCAGGAAGGCACGCCCTCGGTTGACTGTGGGGAGGCAGAGTGTGGCCTGGGTGGGTGAAGACAAGTGTGCGGGGGCCCTGTGGGTGGGGCCAATGGAGTACAGCAGTGACCAGCTCTGGTGCCTTGAAGCCTCAGGGAGCATGTCAAACAGGTCACCGCCACAGCCAGCAGGTTCTCCAGGGCTTTGCTGCAGGACATGCGGGACGAAGGGGGACACAAAGCCCGGAGAACAGGTCCTGAACATGGAGCTCATGGAAGGACTAAGAGCTCATCAGATTGGCCCTGTCTCCCCAGAAGCAAAACGCTCACCCCATCTGCCGCCCGCCCTTCTTCCTCTGAGCAGAATGACCTTCTCAGAGGTCTCCAGGCTTTGTCCTGGCCTGAAGGGCAGCAGCCTTCAGAGTCTCACTGGGGGGGGTACCCTAGGAAGGGAGTTGTGCGGGGAGGCCCAAAAACCATGCTCACAGGTCCCCCTCCATGTTAGGAGAGGATTGAGGGAGGGTTTCTCTCTCTCTCTCTCTCTCTCTCTCTCTCTCTCTCTCTCTCACACACACACACACACACACACACACACACACACACACACACCCTAAACGTACAATACCCTGATTTGCCTGGCAGAACTGTGAACTACAACTTGCAGAACACTGCTGCCCACTTGGGGACTGGGGGCCCAGCTTCAGTTTAGGCTCCACAGCAGAAGGCAGCTGCAGGCAAACCAGGAACCGTGTAACACCATATGACAATCTGGCCGGACACTGGGCTACTGTGGGGAACGTTAGACATTAACCACACCCGAGCCCCATCCCAGACCACATGGCAGCTGCTGGAAGCACAGGCCCAGAGAGGTCCTTTGCAAAGCTCTCAGGTCATTCTAAGGGGAGGTTCAGGGCTGAGTACCACTGATGGAAAAAATAAAAAATGACTTACCCAGAGGTAGAAGGCTAGCTTTTTTCATTGGGCCTGGAAATGCTGGCTGGAAGCAGAACAGGGTAGAGGGCCATTTGGACCCTGCTACCTTGCCCCAATAGACTGCACAGCCCAACAAAACAAAGTGTCTGTGGCTGAGGACTGGAGTTCCTAACTAAGAGGTGGGAGCCCTGGCCAGTGGCTCGGTGGGTTGGAGCGGCGTCCCTTCCGCGGAAAGGCTGTGGGTTGGATTCCTGGTCAGGGCGCATACCTAGTTTCAGTTTAACCCCCCGGTTCAGAGCAATGTAGGTTGGGGCATGTATGGGAGGGAGGCAACAGGTTGATGTTTCTCCCCCTCTCTCTCCTTCTCCATCTTCCTCTCCCTAAAAAGCAAACAAACAAAATCATATCCTCTGGTGAGGACTTTTTTTTACAAAGGTAGGAAATTGGCAGAATTTTAGGAAACTCATTTAATAAAACCAACTCCCCTTGTCCTGGAGTTTTCAACCAGGAAAACTTGCTCCAGATGAAGGGCTTTTACAGAGCTTGAAGGCGTGCGAGCCACAGAGCCGAAAGAATACCAGGACACTGTGCCTTCGTTTGTCCACCTCTCCTCTCTTGCTCTTCTAGTCTATCCTGACTGACAGGTTACAATGTTTTCAATAGAGGGTTTTGTTTTTGTGTTTTACTTGAATTGAATTATTTCATGAAGTTCAACATTTAATAATGATGGTGACGCAGAGACATTTGGGTCCCTGCGGTGATGCTATGATCTGTGCACTGTTTGAGCTCTTTAGAATGATGTTGATGAAAATGAAATCTGCCTGCACACATATAACACGATGGTCATAGACCCTTCATACAGTACATTTCATCTTTGCAGGATTCACTGAGAGGTGGGGGTGGGTACTGAGAACCCAGGAGATTGTTTTTCTATTACACAGGCTGGCACTTCCAGTTAGAATACCCTTGGCCTCACAGGTTTCAAGCATACCCAAAGCGTATCTCCTTGTTGATTTCAGGTTCTGCATACCCTGCCCTGCAGGGTCTCTTGGGATCACTGTGTTCTGGAAAGTGCACGAAGCTGGGCACTGTCTCTTTAAATAGTAGAGGCTGAGACGCTCTCAGGCCACCATGACATATCCCAGCATTGGACCAGCCCCTGAATAACTGGAAGGACAACCGGTCTGGCTTTCAGTGACAGGGAGCACTACCAAGGAACATCTTGGGGAGCCTGGTTTGAAGCAGCAGGGCTTGGTCTGCCAGCTGCTGGCCTCTCTGCTGCCCTGTGGGGAGGGCCTTGCCTTTGCATCTTTTGCATTTGACTGCAAAGAAAGCTGCGTGGAGGAAGGGTTTACACGGTTTGGCCTGGTGAGTTTTATTGCAAACTGTGCCTCTGGGTGGTGTGTACATATGCTTTACAGAGTGTTTGTTGTCTAATCCCCCAGCCCCTACAAGCTGCAAATAGAAAGAATAGCAGTGGCGACAGTGTTTTTGTGTTGGAATTGACTGGGGAATCAGATAATGTTTAAGCCCTAGGTTAAGCGCTGGATATATACTCTGGGTGGGGTGGCAAGAACGACCGTCTGGGGGCATCTAGAAAGCCCAGCACTTCACATTTGAAAGGACAAGCGGGTCCAGATGCTCTTTTCCTGATGGGAAACAGCTCTGCGTATACCCTAGGCTGGTGATCTTGCCTTGGTAAGCAGGTGAGAGAGAAGCTTCCACCTGTAGTTGAGTCCTGGGCCGCCCTGGGTGTGGCACAGCTCGCTGGCACTGCCCTGAGCATTTCATCCTCCACCACTGGGAGCCCAGGAGACAGGAGATGCAGTGAGGGACGGATGGGTCCACACATTCCACAGCCCACAGGGTGGCTGTGCCCTGGTATTGATTAAAACATTGGGTTCAAAAGAAAGAAAGGTATGAACTGTGTCTTAGAATATGTAGACTTTTCTAGATGTATATATTTCATTGACAAGTTTACTTGGGGGGGGAAAAAGAGAAAAAAAAATCCTGAGCTAAATATGCTAATATTTGTAAAGTGCTTAGAATAGTACTGGGTACATAGTAACCAAATAAATGTTGGTTAAATTATAAATTAAATAAAGTCTAAATGGCATAAAACAAAGCAATAACTCCTAGGGCAGACCTGACCATAAAATGACCTGGGGAGAAAACACTTCCATTTCTTTAATTAGTCATTCTATTTGCATAGGTGCTTTCAACCTGAGGGAGTTGGGAGCTATTTTAGTTAGGGCAGTCAGGCCTGTCCCTAAACCTGTCCGCAGGGTTAAATGTGATATCATGATAAAGATGGTGACCATGTACTGGGCACTGGTCCCTAATTGTGGTTCAGACAGTATGCTCACTGCTTCATATCTTTTAAAATAGGTGTTTTTAGTCCTGTTTGCAGAGAGAAAACAGAAGCTCAGTGAACTTCAGCTAATTGCCCAAATTCATGAACCCTGAGTAAGCAGAGTGATCGGGTTTCTCTGAGCCGAGAGCCACAGTGTGTAACCATTGGACCATACCACCTCTCACAGACCATGTGTAAAGTCCTGTTAAAGTGCCCACCATGTGATGGGCATTGAATACAATTTTTACTAGGATTCTTCTTTTTATCTGGTAATATATCAAATTTTAAAAGGCTATTCAAATAATTTATTTTTACTTAAAGACAAGAATGCATATACAATTAGCTACAATAAGCAGCTACTTTCAAGCAGTAAAATAATGTGGAATGATTTGAATCATTTAGAGTGATGAGGTTTTATGACAGCTCAATAGCAGGTAGATGTGTGTCCGTGTGTACTGCATTATCAGGCATCGACGTTTAACATCCACATTCAGGCTCTCTATTCATGCACCTAGGATGGCCTGCAGGAGTGTCTGTTTGAGCGCATCTTCACCACACCCGCCCAGAAGGCTTAGTCTCTCGCGTGGTAATGCTGGGCGGACCACGTTCAGGCAGCTATGAATCAGCTGATTTCCCTGGCTGCTCTTCCCCCACCTCAAATGGCCAGTTCCCCACCTCGTGGCAGGGACGCCGGCCGAGGCTGGGAGCCAAGCCAGGCAAACTTCGCCTGGAGCATACCCGGTTGTGTTCTGGTTTAGCCCAGGCTAGGAGGGGCTGGACCCCAGGACAGGCTGTCTCACAGTCGCCAGGACTCTCCCTCCGCCCCCTAACTCTCATCCAAGCAGGGCCCGCTAGATCGGTCCATTCCCATCCCAGCACGGCCTGCGTGCAGACACTGCGAGGGCGCGCGTGGTGCAGATGTGCCCAACTAAGAAGACAGGGCAGGCCGAGGACTGGGACATTTTCCAGTGCTGAAGTGTCAGCCACCCTCCCCGGACCACCGTAGGAGAGGAATCTAGCCTGGGTTTCCCAGTGAACTCAGCCTGCGTGAGTGAGCCCCCCACCCCCTCCTCAGCCCAGCGCTGGACACCCATGGGGGCGAACTCTGGCTGGCTTTTCCCACGTGGGCTGAGGGGGCGGAGAGGCCAATTATTGGTCCACACTTGGTTTCCATGAACTCTGCGGAGCGAAGGGAAGTGGAGGTGAGAAAGCTCCGCCGCCTCCTAGTTTCCAGTAAAAGTCGCAGCGGTTTTGCAGTGATCGACTTTCTCCTGAGGCATATTGAAGACCGAGTAACTGTCTCCTGCCCCCACCCTCCACTTTCTGCCCTCTCTCCTCCCTGAGTCCCGCCCTCCTGCTCACGCTGACCCAGGGACACACCCTATTGCAGCGACGCAGACAGGGCGTTGTTCCCGTTAAAGGGGAACGCCTGGAGCCTCCCTCTGGCCCCTTCGCGCTCCTAGCCCCGCTGCGCAGCTTTCTTTGCGGACGCCAGCAGCCAGCCGAGAGAACTCTCCAAGTTTGTGCCTGAGGCCACTCTGAGGATCGGGGACAGCTATCCCTTTGAGCTGTAAGTGCTTTGGTAAGGAAAGTGGAGGAGATGGAGGAGAAACGAGGGCATCTTTGGTCGATGGTGCCAGAAAGCGCGGACCGGCGCAGACTAGGGGCTGGCCAGGTCCCCGAGCTTTCTGTATCGGGCGCAGGCCCACAGACCACGATTTGTCCCGTATGGTTTCTAAGGGGCTTTTGGGGATACGGAGTGGGGTGCATATGGTCTGTAAGCCCTAAAGGGCGCGGGTGTTGGGATCGGGATGTGGAGCAGGGGCGGAGCAGTTTTCACCTCGCTGGAAAGGAGCCTACTCCGGGACTCACTGGCAAATCAGTGCCTTCGGTGGACATCCCAGGGGTACTGTAGTCTCCCACTTTCTAGCTGTATGCCTGATCATCCTCCTCTTGCCCCTCCCTGGCACTAGGAACCACTGGATTTAATTTAAACCTTCTGGGAGACATCAGAAAACCGTGCTTACTTCTTGCTGTACATTCCATCCATTTTAATGTGTTGCTTATGGAGGAGAATGAAGGGGCATGGGACTGGATACTTTAAAACCGAATTATGAAACGTCTGCCTGGCCCAAAACTCTGTCCTGAAATGGTCCCCAAAGACGCAGTGGGTCTCTCAGCTTTACATATCCTCTAACGGGTCATCCCGGTCTTCAGTAAAATGAGGGGCAGGACCGCACAACTGCGGATAGGTATCTTGCAGGCTGTTGCCCGCTGCAATTCTCCTGGGACTCAACCCTTAACCATCGCCTCCGCCTCTCCTTCCCATCGGACTTTGCTCCGCTCCATCGGATGGTTGACTTAGTTCACAAAACGCCCGTTAGGACTTAAAATTGGGAAGTTAAAATGGACTTTTTCAGAAAAGAGTACATAGTCCCAGGTCTGCTGGACCGAGTGGCATCCCTGCTCCGCGCGCTTCCGGCCCTGAGGTTGCCCCAGGGCAAATGTGCGGGGGCGCTGGCCGAGGGTGGTGGCCCCGCCCACAGGGACTGCCTGGGGAAGTGCGGTGGGCGCACAGTGCGGGGTCCTGGTCACTCTCTCCGGCCAGTCTTCCCCCCCTACACTGCCCTGCGCCTCTCTCCGGAGCCGCCAGTGTCTCTGGCTGGCTGAGCTGGGGCCTGGACGGCTCCCCGGCGCTGGCAGAACTGAGTGGAAACTTGGAGACTAACGGAATGCAGAGCGCGCCGGGATCTGGGAAACCAGCCCCTGCCCGACGCGCTCCCTCACAGCCTGCCCCTGGTGTCCCGGGCCTCTCGCAGAAATCCGGGCGCCTGGCCCCTCGCCCCCACATTCTCTCGGTCAGGGAACGTGCGCTCTCCGCTTTCCCCAAGCTGGGCTGTCCCGGGAGGCGCCCGGGGTGGGTGGAGTTGGGCTGTGGCCTCTGCTCGTCGTTCTGGAAAAAACGCCTCCTGGACTGACTTACCACATGTTTTTTTCCAAAAGCAAAAGATGTTCTGTCGTAAGGGGACCCCCGCCCCCACCCCGCCCTCACCGCCACCCCACCCCTCCGCTGGTTGCCGGGCAGGCATCCTGTGGTCCGCTGCTGCCCCCTCTCGGCCCGCCGGGCCTGCAGCGCTCCCATCCGGGAGGCGGGCGGCGGGCGCGGCGCCAGGCCCTGGCATTCCGCTCGCACCGGGAACCTCCCTCCGCACTCCTCCCGCCCTCGCTCGCTCGCTGGGGCTAGTTAGTTCGGCCTCACGTCCAGCTTCGGCTCTCTCCTGCAGGCAGAAACTCCGCTGAGCAGAACTTGCTGCCAAAATGCTCCTCCTGCTGCTGGGTATCATCGTCCTCCACGTCGCAGTGCTGGTGCTGCTGTTTGTCTCCACGATCGTCAGCGTAAGTGCCTGGCCGACAGCGGGGGCAGCGGGGCACCCGGTCTCACCCGATGCTCGGGCCCCACCTGTGCCCCCTCTAGTTCGGGACTGCGTGGTTATTTGCAGACAAGGAATTTCAGATGTTCCGGGGTGTCTTGCAGTTTCTGGCAATCTCACCCCTTCAGTTGTTTTGAGAAAACCAGAGCAGATTAAGGGGTAGGGAGGCAGCAATCACTGGACTAGGTTAGCTGCTCAGGCCTCTGTTTAAATCCAGTAATTTCGGGGCAGATCCAGGTCCCCCAGACCTTAATTCGGTAAAGTTGTTTGGCGTTTTTTCTTGATGCAAGTTTGATGAGGAAGTGGAGTATTTATGAAGGTTTGCTCTTTTTTAAATGTCATAGCTCAGATGAGCAGCTTAGTTCACAAAACACCTTTTAGGAGTTAAATTGGGAAGTTAGAATTGGCTTTTTTACAAAAAGAGTTCACAGTCCCAGGTCTGCTTTATGATGTGAACACAGCACCTTCTTAGTAAACGTGTCCACTGTCTGGACAGGCCATCCGGATAACTGGAGTTACAAAACTATCAAGCATCAAGTAGATTAGATTCTAAACTTATTTTCTTGGCCATGAAGATGCGCACAGATTTAGGCAGGTAGATGCTGTGGCTTTAACTTAATATAAGGCAGATCACAGGCATGGTCTTCTGGTCTGTTTCAAGGTTGAGAAATAATTATGTCAGTATCAAAAATAGGATTTGTGAATTTATAAGCACTCAGGTTTATCATTTATATGCATTTTACAGCATTTCCGTTGTGCCTGATAATCTTGTCAGGTTGTTGGGAGTTATAAATAATAGGCTCAGAGAGATGGTGGCTTGGGGGTGATCAAGCCAAAAGATCAAGGAGAAATGGATTGAAGACAGGTGTCCCGGGTTGAGTTCATGGCTCCTTGTACAATAGTACGCAGCTCTGCACATAATAACTTATGTGTGGGGTACCTTTCCATTTACAAAGTGCTTTCCACTTGCAAAAACTGGCCCTCCCCTCAACACAATATCTGAGCCAGACCATCACCTCTCTCCTTTCTCCAGCATTGCTATGGCCTCTGGCGGGGCAGGACTGGGCAGGGCAGGAGCAGGCCAGGGGGACAGGTTAATGAGGTGTCTCTTGCTTTCCCTTGGTCTTCTCCCTCCCCTTACTGTCACTCCTCACTTCCTCACCTGACTTAGAATGTCTGGTTCTTTCCAGCAATGGATCGTGGGCAATGGACATGCGACTGACCTCTGGCAGAACTGTAGCACCTCTTCTTCAGGCAGCGTCCGCCACTGTTTCACCTCATCAGCAAACGGTGAGACTGGCACTTTGCTCCACAAGCTTGTCCTTATCTGTCTGCAGCACGTTTCTTAGTCCAGACCTGGAGCCCTTGTTTTTGGAAGACATAAGCTCGAAAGTTGTTTCTGGGGTTGGATGGAATGTGACAGGAGGCCATGAATTAAGACAAAAAGAGAGGAGCAGTAGTTTCACTGGCTGAGTTAAGATGCCGGGCATCATTGTACATTCTCTGTACCTACAGAATGCCCTTGAGCTCCCCCTATCACTTAGTGTAACGCTTCTTGTGAGTAAAGCCATGTGGACGCGGATACACAATAAAGGCGGCATAATAGCAAAAACTTGGGTTGACCCCTTGGGACTTTAGTTTGGTGACTGTCTCTCTCCAGAAATGTCCTACCTCTTCCTGTTGCAGTGACAGTGGGGCTGTCCCAAGGATAGTTGGGCCAGCTTTGGTCCCCCAGTTACAAAATTCTCTTTCCAAATCTGGGGACTCAGTAATGCCATTTAGTATCAGAACCTTTCGGTCTTTCTCTGTGAAGGGATTTGCAAAACCCTCAGCTGAACCCGGGAGGGTTCTTCATCCCGAAGATTGTGTTTCTCCTTTGTCCTCAGCATCATTGCTTGTGAGATATTGAGAACCAGGCTCACCTGGATTCAAGTTCAGGGGACAACGGGCAGTGGAAGAACTTGCTAGATCCCTCAAGTTCTCAGAGGGAGGGAGTGCTCAGCAGGGGCCTGTGTCTGGATGTGGAGGGGCTGAGGTAAATAGATGCATTCTTTTTGGTGGCTGGATGACGTTAAGTGGCAACATGGACACTGGAAGTAGCCACAGTGCTTGCTGTCGAAGGTGCAGTGAGCCTGGCTTGGCATACTCCCGTGTTCGCAAGGAAGTGTCCTCAATGGGAGAGAAGTAGGTTCAGGTGTGACAGTGCTTTGCTGACATCCTCGGTTTAAAAGACCAATAACAGCCCTGGCCGGTTTGGCTCAGCAGTTAGAGCGTCGGCCTGCGGTCCAGGGAGATCCGGGTTCGGTTCCCGCTAAGGGCACGTACCTCAGTTGCAGTTTGTCCCTGGCCCTGGTTGGGTTGTGCGGGTGGCAACCACTCGATGTGTCCCTTTCACGTCGATGTTTCTCTCTCTCTCTCTTCCTCTCTCTCCCTCCCACTCTATCTGAACAAAAAACGAAAAAATGTCCTCAGGTGAGGATAAAAAAAAAAAAAGTATTTAAAAGACCAATAACATACAGGTTTTGAAGTGGCTGCAGTGACTCATACATCCAATATTTCTGTTAAAGACACTACACCCGATTGAAGAAACCAATTGAGATCCAGCTCATCAAAGCAGACAGTGAAATAGCCCTTAGTTCTGGCTTTGCACAGTCCAGTTTCTTTGCTGGGCTTTGCCTTCAATGGGCTCCATACCCAACAGCACCTAAGCTGTCGCTAATAAAGCATTACAAAGGAAATATCTGGAGCCTCGGTATAAAGAGAAACTGCTCGAATAGTCACTTGGCGGTTTATATGGGGAGAACTGGCAAGGAGTAGAGAACTCTGCTTTGTGTCTCTGCCTTCCTGGGGGAAGAAAAGCAAGGCCTCCGTCCTTGCTCGAGCGAGCAGTCCTTAATCATCTAAGTGTATGAAGGACATCGAGTTAAAACCGTCCTGGAAGTTGCATGGTGAGTTGCAAGTAAGTGAAATACTCACGAGTGCCTGAGAATCTGAGATAGTGCCGCCTGTCCCCAGAGCCACAGCATCCGGTGTTTCCCCATTCAGGGTCAGCTGAAGTGCCCTCAACAGGCAGGATGGGAGTCTCCTCACTCGCCACTGACACCTGGTGGTCACAAGTGGTGACTCAGTCCAGAAGGCAGGCTTTCCCTGAGGCCAGGCCCTGTCCACAAGCACCCTTCCCAAGTGGCATCTGGCCATGCGGGGTTGGCATGGAATCCTGGACTCTTAGGCCCGGAAGGAGGCAGCTGGGGCAGGCTTAGTGGAACTCAGCTGGGTTTCCACAGAAGTGAGGCGGCGGAGGAGCCGCCATGTAAATTGTGCTCAAACCGTCTGCAGGAAGGAAAGCAAAATGAACCTCATTGCCTGTGAGTGACCTGCATTAGGCAGCTTCTGCAGTTTGAAATAGCCATTGCTCCATGCTAGCGACAGATCGCAGAGAGGCACTGTGTTATTTCAGCCAGAGCCGTCTTGTCTCTCGACTGGCTCTGTAGGTGCCGTTTATTTATGATGACGTCAGGGTTTTGTGGGGGGCTCCCGGGGCATCGGTTCTCCTCATCTGCATTCTCAGCTCTCACAGGGCATTTTGAGATCTGGACATGCCCTTAAACGGGCTGCTGTTATTTGGACCTGGGCTTATATACCAAATTAGAAGTTTCCATGTCAGCTTCCCCAGTCATGGTCTCTGGTGACATTTTCCTGAATAGTCAGCCTGTGTGACGAGCTTCAGCTCTGATGCGGGGGAATCCTCTGGGTCTTTTCTGTCTTTTTGACTGGGTTTAACAGCTTCTGTGGCAGATAATAAGGTGAAATAATATATAATTTTTAAAAATTAGACTGTCTTTACAAATGAACTATATCAGTTGCAAACCATTTGCCTTGGTCTCAACTGAACTTGCTTTTAGAATGTTTGGACCATAATTTTTATTTTCCTGTACTCCAGAGTGATTTGTTACTGATAATGATGTATGGAGAATATGTTGCAAGTGTGGTATGTGAAAATACGGTGGTTTACACAACTTATTTTTCTGAAGGGGCTCATTGTTTTTGTATGTGTGGGGCCATGGCACTACACCGCTCTGGGCTTGGCATTCACTTTGTTTTTTGTATAAATGGTGCCCCTTGCCAGGTTAACCATATGGCATGTCCAACATCTATGTCGTGTAGTTTGAAGGAGGCTAGTCAGATCTTTCCCCAAAGTTGCCTGTTCATATTAGAAGTGGTTTTAGATATCTTACAAACTGCCCTCAACTCTGCCTGCCTGTCCATTTTGTAGGATTTCTGTATATACTTCCTGCCCCCATCCTGGCTGCAGGTGGAGGCGAGAGAGGTTTACTGGGGGCACAGTAGCTTGTATTGAATGCCTCTCGGGTCCAGGGAATCCAAAGACCTAGAAAATATGAACCTTGCCCTTGATGGTCCTGAGGCTCTTCGAGGAGTCAGGAGGTAAGTTAGGCCTGATGCCCAAGGAGTGGGGGCAGGCAGGCGGTGCCAGAGCTCAGGGGAGGAAGTGGAAGGGAAGTCTTGTGTGGGAGGTGGAATTTCATCCATCCTCCACAGCATGGGCAGGATTTAAATTAATACAGGCAAAGAGAAGGATATTCCCTCTCAAGGCAATGATGTGACCCAGAGCAAGGGGACCTGAGTAACCAGCCAGCTGGTGTTCCCGTTAGGATCAAGGTTCACTGCATATGACAGAACAACTTCAAATGATGGTGGTTTAAGTGAGATAGCATATTTCTCTCTCTTTTAAAAAGAAGTCTGAAAGTAGGCAAATCCCAAGAGAGGTATGGCAGTTTCATGAAGTTGTCAGGCACTTTCTTGCTTATTTCTTTGCCATCTCTTGGATTTGGCCTCATCCTCATGGAGCTATAGGCTGCTGGAGCTCCAGCCATTTCATCCATCCTTCACACAATAGAGTGGAGAAAGGAGAAAAAGAAGAATGAGTCCCCTTCCCTTTTAATGAAACATTCCCAGATAGACCACACACTTATTTATCTTTATCGGAACTGGGTCACACAGCTGCACCTGCTTACAAGGGAGGCTGAGAATGTAGTCATTCGGCCCTTGTGAGATGCATAGCTTCTCAATTCATACAAATTTCACAGCCGGCACCTCCCAGTCAGCTGGCTTGAAACACTTCTCTCCCAGGCTTTGACCACCCATCTCCACATTCAGTCAAACCTTTCTACAGTAGCTCTGCTGGGTCCTATGCAATTTCAGGGCAGATCTGGGATTCTTCAAATGTCCCTTCTCTACTAGGCCCGGGGCTTTGGCGGCAGCACCACTGTTCCACAGTGACCCACGTCAGAAACTAGAATCCTCCGACTTCTCTCTCTCTGTCTCACCTCCCTCGTCTTAATGCAGTCTCCTTATTTCATGACATCTCTTGCATCTTTGTTTTCTTCCAGTCCAGACCTCTCTTCTGAAGTCCAGACCCGCATATCCAGCTAGGTACTAGACAGTCCCGCTGGGGTGTCTCAGAGGCACCCCAAGCCAGCCAGTGCTCATCGCCCCCACCGTTTACCCGTGGACAGCTTCGTGTGTTCGTGACTGTTGCTCTACCGGCCAGGAAGCTACACACCTAGCGTCTGCCTTGACATGTCTCCTCTCCTCTCTCTGTCACCGTAGGCCCCACAGGCCACCCCTCGTCCCCATGTCTGCCGCCTCCTCCCTTGTCAGAGCTGCTGCTGTAGCCTCTGAACTCCTAACCTCCCTTGCTCCCTTGTAGCTCATTTTTCATAGTGAGTCCAGGGTGGTATTTTTAAAAATCCAAGTCTAATCATCTTACTCTCAAATGAAAACCTTTCAGAGGCCCCTTATTGGTCTTATCTCCAGATGACAGCCTTTACCAGGGCCTACAAAAACCACCTGAATGACCTGTCCCTGTTTCCATGAAACTTCGCCCTCCACCCCTCCCTTCCATCCTAGAATTTCAGCTCTCTCTTAGTTCCTTGATCACGAACTTCCACCTCAGGACTCCCTCCCTCCCTCTGTTCTGTCATTCGCAACTATTCACTGAACACCTACCATGTACCCGGTACCATGGTAAACACTGGGGACACAAGATTGAGTAAGAGCTTATATTTTTCTTGGTGAAACAGTCAGGGAGCATGGATAATCTGGGCCACGGATAGGAGCTGCGACGAGAAGAAAGCAGGTGCTGCGCTAAAGATGGAGGTGGGGAGGGGCGGCCTCCTGGAGGAGGACCCCTCGAGGATGGTCAGGACTTGGCCGTATGAACCTCTCAGGTTCCAGGCAGAGGGACCATCAAGGGCCAGGCCACGGGGGAG